GCTTTATAGTAAAACTTAGCCATTCAAGTATATAAAACATATTCAACTTTTTTTTTAAATTTGAAGTTTCATATGACTTTAATGATAACGCAATTATATGATTTATGTTTTGAGACGGTCCCTGTACGCGTTGTATGTGTAGTATTTAACGTGCTATTGTTCATTATGACAATAAACCTGGGATAAGCATACTGACAATATATCATGTCCCAGAATAAATCCATTATTTCTGAACGTGTACCACATGATGTTTTGTATTTCTATCATAGCCTGAGTAAATGTCGGAAAGCAAGAAGAAAATTAACAAAACGATATTTTTGTTTATTATCTTAGGTAGGAAACACAGTGATCGGAAAGCAGAAAGATAATTGAAATAAAATTAATTTGATAAAAGAATGTCCATCAGTAAATACTGATTTGAATTTTTGGAAATGATTTATTGACAAGAATGTATGCATTGTAGCTATCCTACACACGTCTTGGTTCATTTGACATGTGACTTTGAAGCATGGTCATCATTACAATATTCTGACCTCTAGTTGTTTCTCTTTTATTTTTATTTTTTTGAGTGACTGTCCTATTGACTTTTACCAAAACTATCCTTTTATATAAATTGGTTCTTTTGAGAGCCTGTACAGATATTCATAAAACGGCTTCTGAAAACAAGATATTCTTCAAAACTAAGTTTTCCTGTGGAATATTTGGATTGATTTAAGTAACTTCATGAAATCCATAAAATTTGAGATGTTTTATGAGAACAAAATAATTGTCAGTATATAAGATATCCTAATGAATCGGGTGTGTTACTCTAAAAAATAAAACAAGAAACCTTCTTATCAGTTGCATGACACAGAGTTACACTTCACCTGGAAATTGGATTTTCAATTTCTCTATACCACTTCTACCATGAGTACAGACAGCTTCAATAATGAATATAAAATAATTGAAGGCATCCAGGAAACAAAATATGAAGATATAAAAGATAAAATAAATGCATCCAAATTATAAAGCAAACTTAGTACTTAGTGAAGTGTACCTCTGTGGCATACAACTTATAGGAAGATTTCGTATTTTGTTTTTAACTGATCTCCCGAAGTTACTTAAATCAATCCAGATGTCCTACAGGAAAAACTTAGTTTTGAAGAACATCTTGTTTCAGAAGTCTTATGAATACATGAAAATGCTCTTAAAAAAAACCACTTTATATAAAAAGAATTGTTTGGTAAAATAAACGCATCGTATATTCCAGGATTAAAATTTTGTACGCCAGACGCGCGTTTCGTCTACAAAAGAATCATCAGTAACGCTCTAATAAAAAAAGTTAAAGCATTGAGAATAAAAAATTCCGAAAGGTTTTGCCAAATACAGCTAGGGTAATCTATTCCTAGGGAAGTATTTCGAAAATTTGAAAGTTTATAATATTAGGACAGTCACCAAAAAAAAACGAAAAAGAAAAGAGAAGCAATTAGAGTTAGGAATACCTTAATAATGACAATGTTTCAAAGTCACATATCAAGCTCTTACTGTCGTATCCTGATTTTAGAAAAGAAATGCGAAAATTCATATCTCACGAGTGAAATTAATATTTCTGCATGCACGTGGTTTTCTTGCGCAAGAAGTAGTAAATGGACAGCACATGTTCGCACTGATATTTTGGATTATAATATGCATTTTCGTTATCACGTATATTTATTCTAGGCTCAAATCTAATGTAAGTTGAATTCGGATGTCAAACTACCTACCTCAAGTGGTTAAAGTTGACACCGGATTTATTGTCATTTAATCCAGAATTTGTGTGAACGCAAACCGATATTGCTATCAAATCGGATTTCAAATCCAATTTGTTGTGTCGTGTAAACAGGGTGTATTACAATTGTAAATGAACCAAGACTTGTGTAGGATAGCTGGTCAACACAATGCATACAATTTTCAAAATCGCACCATATTGCAAAGATGCTATAAGGTTTAATTATTAAAAACAAAAAAGAATTGAAATTAAAATAAATTAACATCCATTCCTGTTAATAAATCTTTTCCGAAAATATGAAATTTACTTTCAATAAACACAAACGTCAATGCAAGTGTTTACTGCTAGACATTTTTTTTATCAAATCAATCTCTTCTTCAAGTCTAACTTTCATTTTATGAATACATTGCTATACAAAATATAAGCAGACCTTATAAAACCATATTCAAACGGTATGAAACAGTTTTTTTTGGAGATGCAAGAATTTAAAATCCTTGTGAATTGAAAACATGCAACTATTTTGTCCCCATTCATTACAGTTTAAAATTTTGATACTTATTTATTTGTGTGCATCCCTGATAATTGGTGCTCATATGTTGCATATAATTTTATAACTGTATTCACTGTTAAAACATCAGGGACACACTATAACATATTAATCATATTCTATTACTGATAAATTTAGTTTCAGTTTAAACTTAATAATTTCAATGAATATTCCTTTGGTTTGTTAGAATCTTTTAATGGAATTACATATTTTTGACAGAAATGTCGTTTTGTTTTATTATCTTTCTTTATTTGTTCAGGCTATGATAGGAATACAAAATATCACGTGACAAACGTTCAGAAATAATCAGTTTATTATGGGTCATAAAATATTGTCAGTATACCCAGGTTTATTGTCACGATGCACAAAAGCACGCTGTAATAAATACTAAGTCATATGAAACTTCAAGTTTAAAAAAAAAATTGAATATGTTTTATATACGTAAGTTTTACTATAAAACAAGTGTACGTAAACTTTCTTGTAAAAGAAAATTCTTTATATTATCAAAATCTTCATAAATTTACTGCTATTGAATTATTGTCTTCCCGTACACTAATTCGCCGATATTTTCCCGTATGCAGTAACCTTAACTACGAGACCTCTCCTTAGAACTTCGGCCTCCGCACAGCGCAAGAGCGAGGAGAAAACCGTGATGAAATAATGTAAACAAACGTGCACTGGAAAGTAAATAGTAATAACTGATTCTTAAAGAACAAATTTATTACAACAAAGCATTTAACAACTGTTAAGGAAACGTTTAATTAACAAATGGGAACACATGTAAAATATAAAGAAAAATATCATGGCTCTAACAATTCACTAATTTGTCACGCGCTCCCGGTGCTCTGTGTTGATTTTTATCAATGTCATGATCCGGTAAACTTCGGCAACAAACTCGAAAGTTAATTAGCTTGCGATCAACAATCACTGAATGAAATATTATTTGTCGATAATACGTTATAGATTCGTAATAAATATTAAAAAAAATCTGTATACAGGACTTAGTTCTGTCAAAAGGCAAATAGGTTGAAATACTTTAATCATATTTTTTACTGCAATCTAGTCTTTACTTTTTTACTGTCCGATCTACTGGAACAAATTAACTTTGGTTGTTGAAATATACAATGTCACGTGGTAGCCAATCCATACAGGGACCGTATCAAAGACAAAGATAACTACCTGTATAAATGATGGAAAATTTTCGAGACGTTCCGAGAATCTTGTTTCTGAGAATATCTGAATGGCCCATAGAAGCTACCCAAACTCACCGATATATAGGTAAAAAAAACTATGAGTACTTGTTTTCAATTCTAGAAATTGGCGTAATACACCGTAGTTACCCTTTAAAATTTTCTAAATCATTTTTCGAAATGTAATATGCGCATAACCATTATATTCAGATGTTTATTCAAATAGGAATCAAGTGACTTTATGCCAGACACTCTTTCCAATTTATTTTAGATGGAGGAAGATACTTTGGTCCTTTTATCAGAACGTTTAAAACCGAGATGTCTTGATTGATATACCATGTTATTACATTGCTACATGTATATGGATATGGACTATATCTAAATTCGATATCTCACAGTTTCATGTTGAAGGAACATTTTTATACTGACGTCCGATATAACTGACGTATTTCTAAAATTAAACTTCTGCTGGGTTTTTATACATATAAGAAATTGAATGTTGCTCTATGTTATCAAAATAGGGTGGTAAAACGTTTTGGAAGGTAAAGTAAATTAAAAATCATGAATAGCCAAGTTGATAAGTTCTATACCTCTGGTAATGTTTTATTATTTCTATTTTTAGAAAATGTTTTTTATGACCTTCAGGTTTGTAAATATGATGGAACAGCCTATGGTGACAATTATAGGTTTCATAACGAGTGAGAATTGGATATTGCTTGATATCAACTTTAGTTATTTAATTTGAACTTCGGCGAGTTTATTATTAATATCTAAATTAATTAATTTATAAATCAAGCGATATCAAATTCTCACGAGTTGATAAACCTATTTCTCTTATGGTCAACACTCTCGTTGCGTTAAAAATTCCGCGAATCGTTGATCTAGTCTTTTGCACATACCAGTATAACGTCATATATCCTGTTTCGGTGTCAAACTTTAACATCATACATTGTTAAGAATGTAAATAAAATTGTCAAAAAGAAGATTTTCAGGTGAAAAGTGTGAGTGTTTTGTATATTATTGAAGACATCACATATGTTCGTTGCTATGGACGAACTGTATATCGTCTTAACATTTGAAAGTCATCAATGACCTAACGAATAGCCAATGGAAATGTCATTATATCGTCTCATGATGGTAGATAAGCCAATCAGATTAACGCAGGCCACAACCATAAGAGAATAGCTGTTATGATATGCGTTTAGTCATTTTGAGTCCCATATAGTGGACTAAAGATATGCATCACACTCGTTATAAATACCATGTAATTTGATAATCTTTGTACCCAGTTTGCATAATAATTGAGAGCCTGACAACGCCATGACAAAAAACGAAAGACGACGAAAACATTCACATTTTGAACATATACGTTCTTCGTACATTTGTAATGTAAACATCATATGAATTTGACATGCATATGCATTATTAAACTTGATAAAATTTGAAAAAAGGACAACAATTACTTTGAAAGTAATATACGTTGCGAAAAATGCATGTACATGTAACTAAAGCTTACCAAATTACCGGCATCTTTTACAACACTTTGCTCATACGCTACATTAGTACTGAAGACAGATTTAAAGCCATCACATTCATCCTGAAACAGATTTTTTTCATCAATGAACACATCTGAATAATTTATACAATTGAACTTCTTGTTATTTTTTAACATGAAAATATCTCTCCCCTTTCCCCCTGTCTACATTCTACACATATGATAGCAAGACACATACAATACATTTTCTTAGAGTAAAGTGAGGAACCAATTTTATATGACGGATTATGGAAGTTTCAAAAGTCCCAAATATCAGCAACTCAATAAAATGTCAAATTCATAGTATCGAGTTAAGGAACATTCCAATATTAACAGAAGTGAATTTACTATAATATTTATCTTTCTTTGAATTCCTATTAGACAGTTAATTCTCTTCAATCAAAAGTGTTTACACAGAGATATGTCTCGCCTGTCGGCATAAAATTAAGAAAAAGACAATCTGATGGACAGCAACATTGCTTATCAAAGCCATGATCTAGTAGGCAGCGCCTGAAAATGGTTGACAAACTGAGATGTACAGTAATGAAACTTTATAGAAAATATCGTTGTCTATTGTAAGTAGTTCCTATCAATCTAACTTAAGCAGAAAACTTAACATTGAAAATTGCTAATTAATTCAAAGTCACTGGACCATGTCCTAGGGGACAGGGCCTCAAAATAGTCGTAAAACTGATATGAACTGATAGTAATGCAACTTTATACAAAATATCATTGTTCTATCACAAGTAGTTCTTATCAAACTGACTTAAGCAGAAAACTTAACATTGAAAATTGCTAATTAATTCAAAGCCACTGGACCATGACCTAGGGGGCAGGGCCTCAAAATAGTCGTCAAACTGATATGTACTGATAGTAATGCGACTTCTTACAAAATAGCATTGAACTATCACAAGTAGATCCTATCAAAGTAACTTAAGCAGAAAACTTAACATTGAAAATTGCCAATTAATTCAAAGTCACTAGACCATGACCTAGGGAGCAGGGCCTCAAAATAGTCGTCGAACTGATATGTACTGATAGTAATGCAACTTCATACAATATATCATTGAACTATCACAAGTAGATGTGGCCGAGTGGTCTAAGTAGTCGAAAAGAAGAAATTTCGTATTGTTGGATCCTCAAGCTAAACTCAATTTAGCAGACTATTTTAAAACATTGTGTTTTTTTTATCTTTTACATCTGAGAGAAGACCATTTATTGTTAGACAAATAGTTTATATCAGACAATCCTAGTATCAAAGTTACAGATAACACATGTGATATATTTTTCTTTGTACTCATGAAACAAAGAAGTCTTTTCTAAACTATGACGAGATTCAGAATTTTAAGTGAATAACTGATAGAAGAAGGATATAACATACTAGCAAGAACTCCAATAAGGAGTTGAGTAATGATTTCGGCCTTTACACCAGTCTTGCTGATCATTGCTCTATATAACTAGTCTAACTATCTGTTATAATTTTAAAGATATAAGGCAAAAAGGCAAAACAATGGTAAAAATCGTCATCAAAGGGCAATAACTCCAAAAAGGAAGATTCCGCCCATTTGACTTTATGGGAGATCTTAAAGTTTCTCTCTATCTATTATAGTTTTCCAAGATAAAAAGCAAAAATGAAAAAATGGTAATATTCGCCAAAATAGGGCAAAAATTCCTATAAGAAGTAGTCAGACAGTTTTGAGGTAGATAGATAAAAGATTGATCTCAACATACTGAACATTTCTCTCACTGTCAGATTTTTTCTATCATAGCAGTTTTCAAGATAATAGACAAAACTTGCATTTTACCCCATGCTCTATTTTTAGCCATGTCGGCCATGTTGGTTGGCAGGTGAGGTCGTCTAACACCTTTTTAAAAGTACCTATCCCGATGATGATTGTGGCCAAATTTGTAGTTTCAGATCAGAAGATTTTTGTAAAAGTTAACGACGACGACGGACGACGACGAAAGACGAACGACGGACGCCAAGTGATGAGAAAATCTCACTTGGCCCTTTTTAGGCCAGGTGAGCTAAAAGTGCATATACAAGCATCGGGAACCTACATTTTTTTAACAAAAAGTGATGACCGAATGATTTTGTTCTTTTCTAACAAAGTTTCTGTATGTCTACTTTATATGAAGTCTGTGATCTAGCAAAATGCTAAGTATTGTTGTCATATATTGGAAACCAATTGTGTTCTGCAATTAAATATTCCATAGCAACAGCAATTGAGTTAACACGGCTGTCATTCGGTATATCGAGACAAAAGATCGTGAATGTATCGGAGAACAATTAACGGTCTTTCCACATTAAATTTCTGAATAATTAATAAGAAGCTACCTGCGGTTTACTTAAAGTAAATATTGGTATATAATCATAGGTTTCTTCAAAGTGATTAAAAATATATATGGTTTCTATATACTTTTGTCTGAAATAAGGGAGATAATTTGCTACTTCCGGTTAAGAAAATGTCACTTCCTGTCTCATAGGATAGCTTTTGTCACACTGATTCCAAAAATATATGGTTTCTATATACTTTTGCTTGAAATAAGGGAGATAAATTGCAACTTCCAGTTTTAAAATTTCATTTTGGTATCATCTGATAGGTTACTTCAAACTGATTCTAAAAATATATGGTTTTAGTTACTTTTAAATGAAATCAGTGCAGAAAATGGCTACTTCCGGTTTACAAAATGTTACTTCTGGTTGATCTCTACAAGATGATATGTCTACCAACCTAATGCAAAAGACCCCATGGCTTTATCATGTATAAATATATGAATTTATAGCAAAGGTCAAAATCTTGAAGGTCAAATTTACCTTTGACTTTGACCTAAATTTAAAGGTTATAAAGCAAGGACCTCATATCAAATGACCATAAGTTCCTTTTATATATAGTTAATGAGTTATATCCCAATACAGCTAATTTTAAATATAAGAGCGGAGAAAACTTCCATAAAACGTCAACGTACCATTTCAACCATAATTTATGTGTTACGACATGTCGCAACTAACAGTTTGATAAGAATATTTTGTCGATATCTTAAATGGTCTCTGAAGAGAAAATAAAATAAGCCTAAATCAAATTCAGATTATGACCTTAACCTTTGACCTCGACCTCATTTTCTTTTTGGTGGATCCTGAACCTCAAATCAAAAGACCCTAGGTCTCTATCAATTAAGGTTTACCAGTTTCAAATACATATCGCTTATTTCAAATACATAAGGGGAAATAACTCTCACATGGAGTCTCTGGATCGCTTCAGTCAAATTTTTTTTTGACATCCTGAAGATATAACCAGTAATTTGGAAAAATAAATTTGTCGATTTCTTTTACGGTTGCCAAGGAGTAGAGATAACAAGCACAACAGTGTCAAAGGAGATAACTCTTACAAGGAAAAGTGATGGTAATATGTCTGTCAAAATATGTCTGTCGGAAAAATGGAAGGACCTAATAATAATAATCAGAAAAAAATCAATATGTCTTTCCACGGAAAAGTGGAAAGACCTAATAAATAACGATGGTCAAGCATTGTGATCGGATCGTGAAAGCAATTTCATACAATTCAACTACAAAAATCTGTGAAAATATCCGTTGTATTATAAACATGCGGAAAAAATCAGGCAAAAGAAAAATGTCTGTCAAAATGGTTCAACTTCCTTAATAACAAGGAACAAAATGTAGTACTTTTTAAGAAAACACTTTAGGCGACACATGACCTTATGCGATAAATTAATGAAAATGCACGTTTTGGATCTATAATTGTCACATTCTAATTAATCATGATATATTTGAAACTAAATATTTTGTTTGTCAGAAAGAAAAGTAAAATAGAAGTTATTTTTTCCTTGAAAACGTTTTGATTATTATTTTAAAAGAAGGATTTTGTTGATTTTAAAAAAATGGTTGCATCTACGTCGTTTGGTCTCTGGTGGGTAGTTGACTCATTGGAAATCATACCAAATCTTCTTACTTTTTAATATTTATCATTAGAAAATTAAATTTTGTTTAACATTGATGTACTTTAATTGATTGAAGAATATGATATCTTAATAATAACTTTTTTGTTGGTGTAATTGAACACCTCCTCATTTTCGACAAAACCTTTAAAAAACTCAATTAAAAACTAATGTTTATTATATTTATAATATTCATATTTCTTACAAATAGTATTTAACATGTAATTCACAGAGGAAAAATTAAAAACATTTATGTTAATAGTATAGCACTTTCTGTTCATATTTTAAGAAAACGTTTTCTATTATATATACGAGTATATAACAACACATTAATACCTGTTTTCACTTAAAAGGTAAAAGTAACTTGACACCAAAGATGATAAAGCCACTAGGAGCTTAACTTGTCAAAAATAAGTATCTTTATTTCTATAATGTTAAATGCATTTGCTAATGTGCAAAGCAAAAGGGAATCTAGGGGTATTCCCTGGAAATAAATTGGATGTGTGCGAATTGATATACGTCATAGTACTCAACGAGGTGGTGACAATTTCAACGTAAGTCCATCGGGTGTGGTGGGATCGATTTCCTAGCTTGGTTTGTAAATTTATCAATTAATGAATTGTGTTCTATTCCCGATCGTCAAAAGTCTTGACTCGCTTGCCTGGTGATGCATGCATAACAGACCCCCCCCCTCATAACAGAAGACGCGTATCTTGAAGAAGCATCCAGTATCGCTACGTTCGAGATAATTAGTAACTATAAGGTTTTTTTCTCATGCGCCATGGTATGAAAAATATTTTTAATCTAAAGGGATAGTTAATTTATTAACGATAAGGACGCAACACTGGTAATAACAGCTGACACTGTCCAACTTTAATCAAAATCATATTCCATTAACTTCACTTTCCGCTATATAAATAATGTCCTCTCACTATATAATCCATAGTGTGGTGATTATGTTCAACGTCTATCCCATCGAACTTGAAATAAAGGATACAACTGATACAGTTAAGTGCTCCTCATATCTTGACCTACATTAAGAAACTGACAATGTGGGTCGGATGAGAACAAAACTTTACGACGAAAGAGATGATTTCAGCTTTCCA